ACCTATTTATTGCAATACAGAATCACACATCAAACAACTATTTTAAAAACTTATATTAAAGGTAATGGGCTGCCTTCAGGTTTTAGTTAATATTTCCTCATTCCAACTTGTTATTTCAATTGGCAATTTAAGACAAGTTTCTGAACCTAAAATATGAAACCAGGCATGGTGGCTCACACCTATAATCCTAGTACTTTGGGAGGCTGAGGAGGGTGGATCACTTGAGATCAGGAGTTTGAAACCAGCCTGGCCAACATGGTGAAACCCTGTCTCTACTAAAATACAAAAATTAACCAGCCATGGTGGCAAGTACCTGTAATTCCAGCTACTCTAGAGGCTGAGGAAGGAGAATCGCTTGAACCTGGGAGACAGAGGTTGCAGTGAGCCGAGATCGCGCCACTGTACTGTAGCCTGGGCAACAGAGTAAGACTGTCTCAAAAAATAAAATATGAAACTAAGAAAAAAAGCTTATCCACTGATACAGTTGTTTTGTGGGCCAAATGTGATTGCTCTCCTGGAATCCCAACACTTTGGGAGGTCAAGGCAGGAGGATCTCTTGAGCCCAGGAGTTCAAAACCTACCTGGGGAACATAGAGAGACTTTGTATCTTAAAAAAAAAAAAAGGGCCGGGCGCGGTGGCTCAAGCCTGTAATCCCAGCACTTTGGGAGGCCGAGGCGGGTGGATCACGAGGTCAAGAGATCGAGACCATCCTGGTCAACATGGTGAAACCCCGTCTCTACTAAAAATACAAAAAATGAGCTGGGCCACTTTGGGAGGCCAAGGCGGGTGGATCACGAGGTCAAGAGATCGAGACCATCCTGGTCAACATGGTGAAACCCCGTCTCTACTAAAAATACAAAAAATTAGCTGGGCATGGTGGCACGTGCCTGTAATCCCAGCTACTCAGGAGGCTGAGGCAGGAGAATTGCCTGAACCCAGGAGGCGGAGGTTGCGGTGAGCCGAGATCGCGCCATTGCACTCCAGCCTGGGTAACAAGAGCAAAACTCCGTCTCAAAAAAAAAAAAAAAAATTGAGATAGGGTCTTGCTCTGTTGCCCAGGCTGGAGTGCTCTAGTACAATCACAACTTGCTGTAGCCTCTACCTGCCAGGCTCAAGAGATCCTCCCACCCTTGGCCACCCAAAGTGCCGGGATTATAGGCACAAGCCACCACGCCTGGCCTTACCAAAAAAAAGTTTTAATTAATAATTAACTGGGATCAGGCACAGTGGCTCATGCCTGTAACCCCAGTGCTTTGGGAGGCCAAGACAGGCAAATCACTTGAGGCCAGGAGTTCAAGACTAGGCTGGCCACCATGATGAAACCCCATCTCTACTAAAAATACCAAAATTAGCCGGGCATGATGGTGCATGCCTATAATCCTATCTACTTGGGAGGCTGAGATCTTGAGAATCTTGAGCCTTGGTTCTCCCATGCCCAAGAGAATCGCTTGAGCCTGCATGGTGGAGGTTGCAGTGAGATGAGATCATGCCACTGCACTCCAGCCTGGGCCACAGGAGCAAGACTCTGTCTCAGAAAATAATAATATTTATTAGCTGTGTGTGGTGGCACACACCTGTAGTCCCAGCTACTCAGAAGGCTGACATAGAAGGATCGCTTGAACCTGGAAGCTGAAGGTTGCAGTAAGCCATGATTGTGCCACAGCACTATAGCCTGGGCGACAGAGCGAGACTCTGTCTCAAAAAAAAAAGTTTTTTCTGTAAATTTAGCAGCAGAATGCCAGGACCACTAACCAGAATTCTTTTAGAAGGTGATTGTAGAATCACTGGTCTGGCCCATTTATTTTGGTCTTCATGGCACGCTTCCTTGTGATTTGTCTTTGTTTACTTGCATAATTTTTAACCCTTAGTTTAGCGAAATAAAATGTATCTTCATTATTCAGATTTATCTCCCCACCTAAACCAAGAAATATTTCTGTGCATCCCCTACCCGCCCACCACCAGCTTTGAGTAAGTGATAGCAAGGGAATGAATGAAGACTGCAGAAAAATCTAACGCAGTAATGGTAAAAATCAAAATCTTATTTTCATATTGGAAGCCTCTGCCAAAAAATAAATTGCTAAACAAGACATTTCTGAGATGCAGAACGTCTACAGACTTGAAGTTAGGAGACTTGGTTCTAGTCCCAGGATTGCCACTAACTGGCTTTAACCCGAAGGCTGGCAACTGATAACCTCGTCCATCAGAAAGATCACACTAGTTGATTTTAAGATCCAGTTCTGACCTTTAGTGATTCTAAGTTCTGCCTTTTCTAATTTCCTGGCTTCGATTCTTATTCAGCTAGTTTCCGGCCTTCCTGAGAGGGAGCTAGGCCCATGCACCCAGAGCAGAGGCGCCCTGATCCTGGAGTAGCCCTGACCTTGGCAATCACCTCGCCTCTGTGGGTCTCCTCTGGCCAGTCAGCCGTGAGGAGGGTGGAGACGCCTGGCTGCTTCCTGCCTGTCTCACAGGGGCTGTAAAGACCAGTACAATTTTACAAAGGGTGAATTCCTCCAAGGAAGATCTTGCCTGAATAAAATTGTTCAATACTTCGGCTGTTATTATTGCTATGACATCCAGGAATCATGAGGGATGAGAAGGGAAGGAGCAGGTATAAGCATCCATTGTATTTATGGTGATTGAGTGGAAGGAGGCCTTGAAGCCATCTAGGGACCCACTTCATCTACAGATAAAGACACAGGAACCAAGGAAGTTTAAGTGGTGAACTGAAGGCCAAGAGTCTAAATCTGTGGATGTGTGGTTGGCATGGGAGCCCAGGTCTGCTGGCTCCCAGCCCTCAAAACAGAGGCCCCAGAACTAGCTCTTTGTTCTCAAAAGCTTCAACAGGATGGCTTCTGAGAACTAATTATGTATGCAAAGGTCTACTCTGATTCAATGAAGAAGAGTACCCTGTAAATTTATTCTGTGTAGGAGCATATGAGCCCTGGTCAAGCGAAAAAAACCAACAATTAGATGATCCTCAAAAATCTGCTTCCTCCTAATCCCTATTGCCTCAGAAAACTAAATGCAGCCTGCTTTGAGACAGCCTGGCAACCCATTGGTACAAGGGAGCAAAGAGAAACCCCAGACTCCTGTCCCAGCTGGCCATGGATGGGAGGCTGGCATCCCCCAGATCAGGGTGCCTGCAAAAGCAACCAGGGAAGGTGTGCTAACGAGAGAAGCCTCGGCTCAGCTTTGGGCTGGAGAGAGTGATCTGCCATCTTTGCCTGTCACATTTGGCATTACCAAATTCAGCCAGCTTTTCAGATCTATGATCTCCAGCATATCTGTTATAATTTCATTTATTTATTCAACGCAGGTTAATTAAGCACTAATTATATATGGGGCATAAGGGAGCCAGAGAGGACTTAGGCTTTAAGGAAGCTTTGTCTTTTTTAGGGTTTGGGATTCCTTCCTGTAATCATGTACAAAGTTTCCGGGCAGGTGTAAAAGAGCCTTTTGCTGGAATCTTAAATTTTTATCAGATCTGTTACCCTAAACCAATTAAGAACCACCATAGGCCAGGCGTGGTGGCTCATGCTTGTAATCCCAGCACTTTGGGAGGCTGAGGCGGGCCAATCACAAGGTCAGGAGTTTGAGACCGGCCTGGCCAACATAGTGAAACCCCGTCTCTACTAAAAATACAAATAAAATTAGCTTGGTGTGGTGGCGGGTGCCTGTAATCTCAGCTACCGGGGGGGGCTGAGGCAGGAGAATTGCTTGAACCTGGGAAGCAGAGGTTGCCGTGAGCTGAGATCATGCCACTGCACTCCAGCCCGGGAGACAGTGTGAGACTTAGTCTCAAAAAAAAAAAAGAAAAAGAAAAAGAAACACTATAGTGGGTGCACACTAGAACTTCACTTCATTACTTCATGCATCTGCTGTCCTGGTTCGTGTCCTCATCCTGCCCATTCAGTCAAAAGCACAGGGGCTAACAGAACGTGAACAAGGGAGGCATCTCTGCCCAGAGCACTGGTTTGTTTTTGTTTTGTTTTTGTTTTTGTTTTTGTTTTGAGGCAGAATTTCACTTGTGTTGCCCGGCCTGGAGTGCAATGGCGCAATCTCGGCTCACTGCAACCTCCACCTTCTGGGTTGAAGCGATTCTTCTGCCTCAGCCTCCCAAGTAGCTGGGATTACAGGCATGCACCACCACACCTGGCTAATTTTTTGTATTTTTAGTAGAGACGGGGTTTCTCCATGTTGGTCAGCCTGGTATCAACCTCCTAACATCAGGTGATCCACCCACCTCAGCTTCCCAAAGTGCTGAGGTTACAGGCATGAGCCACCTTGCCCAGCCAGAGCTCTGGCATGTTCTGTAGAACCTCAGGAAGTTGTCCTCGCTGGCCCAAGTCCATGCCCCACATTGCAGATTCTGTCTCAAGCGTTGACATCCTCCTACAGGAGGCCCCGAACCTCTGTGGACCCTAAGGAGGCCTTAGCAGGGGTGTGTTAATACGGCCTTCTCAGTCCCAGGAAGGAACAGCTGCTGGGCCACTTCCTCGCTCTCAAAGGCCCTTCGATTCAAGCGGGCTGGCCCCTCTAATTTTAGTGCTCCTGCAGAGTATCAGGTTCGAGAGTTTCCTATTTGTTAAGAGTCCTGCCCTGTCCACTGCCCTGAGGGACCTGTGGCCTCTGTGTAACTGTCTAAGAATTGCTTTGGCTATATGTGGTTATCCCTCTGTTCAGGTGACACCTGGTGTCTGTCTTCTACTCCTGTGGAAGTGGTTTTGCAGAAGGATGGCCTGGTAAATGCCTCCCACGAGAACCTTGATGTTAGTTTAGCATGCCATTTGATACAGAAACCCAGAACATAATTATTGCTAGCTGGTGGAATAGGAGCATATGTCAAGACAAATCATCATCAGAACCTAGGCTTCAGGGATGCCGATGCTGCAAGAAAAGCGTTTCTCTTTGCCTGTTGTGTGTGTGAGTGGATGTGAGTGTGTGAGAGCCTCACCTGCTACGGATGCTGTGCTGAGTTCTCTACTTTCTGCCCCTGTAGAGAGAAGACATGGTTCAATGTGTAGACCTTCTCCCTCTCCAGCGTCTCCAGCCTCCAACCCCAGGACATCACTAGTACAGGTGAAAACAAAAGCCTGTCTCAGCGGCCATCACTCTGCCAGCAGCACCTCAAAGCCATTCAAAACGCCCAAAGACAATCTACTTACCTCCAGCAGCAAACAGCACACAGTCTTTCCTGCAAAAGGATCAAGGGATAAACCATGGTGAGTGTTGGATGCTGGCAGCTAGCTACTGTCTGTCCCCCATGCTGTTCCTGTCATCACAGGAAAGTGTTTACCCTCTGGCTTTGTTCCTAGGTGTCACATATAGGAATTTGGGGAACTAGGGAATGAAGGGACCAAAACCCAAAATGATGGAGAGATAAACTTAAATATTAGAGAACATGTGAGACCTTTAAAGTACCCTATGGGCTGGGCATGGTGGCTCACACCTGTAATCCCAGCACTTTGGGAGGCTAAGGCAGGTGGATCACCTGAGGTTGGGAGTTTGAGACCAGCCTCGCCAACATGGTGAAAACCAGCCTCTACTAAAAATACAAAAATTAGCCAGGCATGGTGGTACACACCTGTAATCCCAGCTACTCAGGAGGCTGAGGCAAGAGAATTGCTTGAACCTGGGAGGCAGAGGTTGCAATGAGCCAAGATCGTACTACTGCACTCTAGCCTGGGCAACAGTGAAACCCCAGCTCAAAAAAAAAAGGAATACCCTATGCCTTACAGGAGACTTTTTTATTCTCTTGAGAGTTGAGCCAAGTTGTATCTAAGAAAAGGGTAACAGGGAAATATTTCTCAGTTCCACAGTCACCTCTCAATTTTCCACCCCAGTTAAGAGAAGCTTTGGTGTAAAATCAAAAGCACTGACAGTTGGCCTTGCGTGGAGCAAGGCCACGGCCCTACCCCCAGCACTGGGTCCCAGGTCCCATGGAATAGTGGAATAGCCACCCGCAGAGGCAAGTGACTGGGAGCTGACCACGGGAGAAAGAGAGAAAAACCAAGTAGAAGGTCACCCCTTTGATGGAGTGGGCAACAGCTGCTTACAGGTGGCTGAAAAATCAGAGGCTTTTTGCCAGGCACAGCGACTCACACCTGTAATCCCAGCACTTTGGGAGGCCGGGGCGGGCAGATCACTTGCGGTCAGGAGTTCAAGACTAGCCTGACCAACATGGCAAAACCCCATCTCTACTAAAAATACAAAATTAGCCAGGCGTAGTGGTGCACATCTGTAATTTCAGCTACTCAGGAGGCTGAGGCGGGAGAGGTGCTTCAACCCAGGAGGCAGAGGTTGCAGTGAGCCGAGATCATGTCACTGCACTCCAGCCTGGGTGACAAAGTGAGACTCCAATTCAAAAAAAAAAAAAAAATCTGAGGCTTTTAATTCATTTTGTTATCTCAACCCTTTCTAAAAAGTCAGAAAAGGTTGCCTGTGGAACAGACAGATAGGAAACCAAACTTAACAAAGATGAGTATCTTCAAGTGCTGTCGGCACCAAGCCTGGAGCACTTAAGGAACTGGCTTCTGACAGCACCTCTATGCTTATCTTTCAAGCCTCGAGAAGGCAGAGAAGGGATAAATGTGGAGTCCATCTAATTTACGTATTTAAAGAAAAAAAGTGTTCCATTCATTAATGACAGTTAATTGCACTTAAGTTTGTACCTAGGCAAGCTGTGGAGCAAAATCATCCATCAATGGGTTTGTCACTGCATACTGGAAATTATGATGACTTAGTAAAGAGCTAATTTTGTCAGATCAATTATAGAGCCTCTTGTGGTGGAGTGGAAAGGTGTAGGCATGGCTGTGGAGGAGTTACCTGCCATGCAGCTGGGCCTCGGGGGCAAGCTTTGTTCTCCTTGGGTTGTTGGGATCACAGGTCCATCCTGTGGGAGGCTGCAGCTGGTTAGGGAAGACTCAGCCTGAGAGTGGTAGCTGCCCACCCACCGGCCGTGGGAGTCTACCAGTCACTACCCTGCAATCCGTCTTATCTGTGACCTGAGAATGTGCCTGGGAGTTTATTTACTGGGACTGTGTGGTGTCCTGATGTAACCACAGATTTGACTTTGAGCCTTAGAGGGCTCAGCCTCAGTTCTGAGAGGTATCCCAGAGTGCAGCTTTCCAGACCTGTACTGAGCTAGGAGCAAGAAGCCAGTTCACTGCGTGCGGTGGCTCAGGCCTACAATCCCGGCACTTTGAGAGGCTGAGGCAGGTAGATCACAAGGTCATAAGATGGAGACCGTCCTGGCAACATGGTGAAACCTTGTCTCTGTAAAAATACAAAAATTAGTTGGGCGTGGTGGTGTACACCTGTAGTCCCAGCTACTCGGGAGGCTGAGGCAGGAGAATCACTTGAAACAGGGAGGGGAAGGTTGCAGTGAGCCAAGATCGCACCACTGCACTCCAGCCTGGTGACAGAGCGAGACTCTGTCTCAAACAAAAAAAAAAGAAAGAAAGGCAAGTTCAAGTCTGGGCCTGCCTCTAACTTACTATGTGTCCTTGAACAAGTCACTTCACTTCTCTGAGTCTCATTTTCAAGCCTGAATATTTTGAAATTCTATATCACAGTCCTACCAAAAATTCACAAAGTTCCTCACTGCCTCCTGAATTAAAGAGTTAGTCCCTCAGCCCAACATGAGGGACCTCCACAAACTAGCTGCAACCCCCCAAGTCAATACCGATTATCCAGTACCACCCTATTACACCAGCTTTCCACCCATCTCTACCCCTGGTACCTTTGCCTGGAACATCCATCTGTCTTTACTCAACATTTAATGAGCACCTATTGTAATACTGTGTTCGCCAACTCTGTAAGTAGCACGGGGGATACACAGGGCCCACTGTTGTCACACAGGCACCCTCGTGCAAGTTAGAAAAAGGTCTGGATGCAGCCCGGACCAGGTGCACAGTTGACTAATGGCCTTCATCTCACAGTCATTTCCTGAGCCAGACATCCTTTTGCAGTGCATAACCTAAACAACTGTACACTGCAGCCCCAGGCATACAAAGTAAGACACAGACACTGTCTTAGGGAGTCTGTCAGTAAAAACATAAGCTAACACAGGACAAATGATAAGGACTATGAGATAAGTAGCAAAGGAGAAGGGCACCTGACCCCGGCTGAGGACTCAGGAAGGGTTTTTCAAAAGAGGCCACTTCAGCTAAATTCGAAGGACAAGGAGTAGGAAGGAAGTAAACAAAGAAAATGGGGTTAAAATGGGAAATTTTTAATGTTATGTCCATTTTAGCACCAAAAAAAAAAATTTTTTTTTCTAAGAAAGTAGGAAGGGTGGCTGGGCGTGGTGGCTCACACCTGTAATCCCAGCACTTTGGGAGGCCAAGGTGGGCAGATCGCCTGAGGTCGGGAGTTCAAGACCAACCTGACCAACATGGAGAAACCCCATCTCTAATAGAAATACAAAATAAGCTGGGCATGGTGGCACATGCCTGTAATCCCAGCTATTCAGGAGGCTGAGGCAGGAGAATCACTTGAACCCAGAAGGCGGAGGTTGCAGTGAGCTGAGATCACCCCATTGCACTCTAGCCTGGGCAACAAGAACGAAACTCCACCTCA